CCTCCAAACTCGTCATGGTGAGGGAGGTTTAATGGTGGTTGTGAGTCTTAGAGAAAATCCACAACCATTCCAAGCCTTAAAAAAAAATTTTTTAAAACCCCAAAACCTTAAGCACACAAAAAAAGCCAAAATCACATTGCACAAATCCAGCCATTTGGTAGAGTAATATTTGGGTGCTGGGGGTCACAGATTGCCCACAGCTTAGTTTCACTAAGTTTACAGTTTAGTAAAACTTGTGAATAGGTTAGTAGGGCTTGTTCAGGAAACCATGGTTCAAAAACCATAGTTAGGTGTGATGTTCGAAGCCTATCTTCTGTTTCGTTCTGCTCCTTCTCAGTCAGCTGACACACAGTTGTGGTATCAGGGTACAGACATGCAGGGCTGGCTTTTGGCTGAGGCTGAGCAGCCAGAAGTTAGGGAGTGCCAACGCCACCCCACTTCCAAATCATTCTAAAAATGCAAATCTTTGCAGCAGCGGGAGGCGGCACCATCAGTCAGCGTGGCCTAAGGGCGCCATATACCCTTGAGCCGGCTTGGCGTGTGTCTATTCTTCCTCCTTCCGCTTCATGCAAAATCATAGGTGAAAGGCAAGGCAAGGCCAGTTAACCCAATGGCCTTTTTAAGTCCTTTCTGACTGCTCCTGGAAAAGGGAGTGTGGCATACTTGGGCCTTCCAGTTTTCCATCAGAGAACTTATCATAAGAAAGCTAATTTCTAGTTAATGGAAGAGAGACAGCCCTGAATCCCACTGAGGGTGGTCTGACCCTAAATGAATTTGCACGGACTGGTGGGATCACATGTCATCTGTTCATTCTGAGGGACGGTGGGGTCTTTTAAGCCTGCCTTTTGGAAAAAACAGAAATTATGTAACAAAGTTAGTTTGTATGTGGCTTTTAACTCCCTCCCGGTTACTGTAGCTGATTAAGAGATATAAATATTTCCTTTTACCCGATTCATCAGTTGTTTGTTTTTGAAGGGAGGATCAAATACACTGTAGCTTCATTTTCAGCCCTTCATATTTTACCCTTTTCCTTTTGTCATATTATGCACCCTTCTTTCCTACAGGAAAATCCCACTCCCCCACAGAATGTATCCTTTGGATTTGCATCTCCAGGCAAATAATCTGAGTGGTTGATAATTCTGAGTTCTCTCTTATTGCTAGCTTTGCTCCAGGCACCCCTGGAATACTGTGCCTGTAGTTTATTGTCATCCAAATGAATTTTGGCTTCTTGTCTTCTTTCCTGCTGGTTTTTCCCCCCCTGTAAACAAATCTCCTAGATGACTTGCAAGTGAACTCAACCAGCAATCCTGTAATAGGGTTCTTTGTAAAACAAGGGACTTCTTACCTCCAATCTGCCTCTTTCCCTTCTCTTTGTACATTGTACCTTTCCTAGTTAATGGGAAAAGGAGAATTCTGCTTAAGATGTGCTTTCATTGCTATTCAAATTAAGGACAATCAGCCACATGCAGGAAATGAGTAAATACTTGAGCATGTTGGTGCAGAGGCTCCTTTCTCAGTGTGATTTTTATTCTACGATTGTGCAATTTTAGTAATTTGAGCCTTACAATTCCGTGAAGGAAATGTGATTTAATAGGGACTTCTGAGAATGTGTGGTTTTCTAGAGCAAGGAAAGCTGTTAAATGTTACTTTATTTAATCTGGTGCATGTAAAAACACTTCCAGTATTTGTCCATTCTCAGTCAAACCACAGGCTTTATCAGTTGAGCATCAGGAGGTTGTTGGGACTTAAAAGTTTTGCAGATTTCACAGTAAGAATGTCAGATGCTGCCTTTCAGTGGACGGATCACTCCTTCTAGCCCATGTTTTGAAGGGTGTCTTTCCAAGATTTCTGGAGTTTTCCAGGTCAACCTGGAGATGCGAGAACTTGGAATGGATCTTTCTACATTGAAAGGAGGTATTCTGCTAGTAACCAGGATCCCTTTTCCTTGTAACTGCAAAGAGATTAATTTCAGGAAATTGTCATTCATATTGAAATGAGAAAGCACTTCATCTTGCAATGGCTTAAAAGTTGGGCTTTTAAAAAACAAATCCTTACTCCCCCATGAAGTTTACTGGTAATCTGGGAGCCAATGTTTCTCAACCTCAGCAGCTTTAAGATATGTGGACTTCAACTCCCAGGATTCCCCAGTTGAAGTCCACATATCTTAAAGTCGCCAAGGTTGAGAAACACTGCTGGGAGCAGTCATCCCTCAATGGGTTTATAGGTTTATTTATTTATGTATAGTACTTCATGGAACTGAAGTACTATAAAGAGTAATTCCATTTCAGCCTTCCCTTTTTCAGCCCCAGGGCCTGCTCCAGCAGCTTAAATAATAACAAAATAGGCTTAAAACAACCAGTAACCCTTAACTACCTCCCCACCCCAATCAGGAAAAAATGGGAAATCGTTCGTTACACACGCAAGCTTCTACAAGTTGTTTCTGCTGTTAGTTCTTTGGCTTTGAAAAATGCAGCACCATGATGGTAGCTTATTTTACACAGTATATTTTAGCTTTAGTGGGCCAGTGTCCCTGTGAGTAACAACCAGAGTGCCTTCTCTAGGCAGCAGCATGATGGCAGCTTTGTGTGTTTCTTCATCCCTGTATGTATGTATGTATGTATGTATGTATGTATGTATTTATTTATTTATTTAATCCATTTATATGGCCACCCAATTTCTGCATGGGCTGTCCTTGAAGCTCTTCTGAAGGCTACAGCTGGTCCAAAATCCAGTGAAACAGGCAGTAATTATCAGTCCTCATTATACCGATGTGTCACTGCTGCTTTGCGTGCTGCGTTGGCTACCAGTTGGCTTCCGAGTGCAATCCATGGTGCTAGCTGTCACCTATAAAGCCTTCCTGACATCATTCATTCATTATGTGCCCTCAAGTCATTTTCAACTCCCAGCGACCACATAGATAGATTTTTCTCCATGACGATCTATCCCTAACCTGGTCTTTCAGGTCTCCCAGAAATGCCCCCATTGGCACTGTAACTGAGCCCATCCACCCACTGCTGGTCATCCTTTTCTTCTCTTTCCTTCCACCTTTCCCAACATTAGAACCTTTTCCAGAGAGCTGGGTCTTCGCATAAGGTGTCCAAAGTGTAATAATTTGAGCTTGGTTATTTGTGCTTCAGGTGAGAACTCTGGGTTGATTTATTTGTTGATCTGTTTGTTTGTTTTCTTGGCTGTCTGTGGTATTCTCAGAGTCTTCTCCAACACCAGAGTTCAAAAGCATCAAAACTCTTTCTATCCTGGTTCTTTGAAGTCCAACTTTTGGTTTCACAGGGAGTATCATTGCTTGTGCTGTTCTGAACTCTGTAGGTAAAAAGACATCACAGCATTTCAGTATCTTTTCCGAGGCCTTCGTGGCTGCTCTACCAAGTGCTAGTCTGTGACCTGTTTCTTCTCTGCTTGTTGCTTAACTCTTGATGGTTGATCCTAAAAGTCAGAAGCTATCTTCTGAAGATATCGTTCTTCACTATCAATTGGTTGTTGTACCTGTTGGCATGAGTTTGGTCTTCTTTATATTTAATGTTAGTCCCATTTTTTCACTGTGCTCCTTGACTTTTATTTGAGTGACCACCTGTCTCCTATTGTTTCTGCCCATCCGGTATGATCGGGCAGAGCGGGTGCGTTCTTGGTGCCTTCAGTTAAATGTTGTTATCTTGCAAGACTGAGGAAGAATGTCTTCTCTGTTGCAGCATCTGCCCTCTGGACAGCTCCCACCCATCAAACGTTCTGGAAGTCTCTGTTCCTAGGCCTGCGGTTAGGGTTTTTGTGGGGTCCCTGGCCCCCACAATTTTTTTTCCTGGATGTTATTTATGTGGCTTTTGTCCAGACAGTCATATTCCTTTTTTTTTTTTAATTACATATTCTTTTTAGGAATTGTAAACTGCTCACAGAATCTTTTTAGAATAGGCAGCCTCAAAATCCAATCAATCAATCAATCAACCCACAAATTCTGGGTGGCTAAAATAGGGGTAAAACATATTTTTTTAAAAGCCAAGAAAGATAAAAAGAACACAAACTATAGTTACAACCAACTACAGTCATATTCCCGACCTCTACAAAATGGGCTCATCCCAACAGTTTATATGACCCAAAGGCAGTTGTGCATCAATTTCCTGTTTTGGTTTTAGCATCAGAGGGAAATGTGACCTCGGCTACACTAGTGTTCCAAATGGGAAAATTGGCAGAATGTTAGGTTGGCCAGTGAAACTTGGGGGCTCATGTTATTGTAGATGCTGAATTGATTTAATTTTCTTTAGCGGCCAGTAAACCTAGGTATGTCACTTTCTGTTTCACAGATATTGCCATCACTTCTTTGGGTGGAATTAAATATACTGGGTAAAAGGGTGGGGATGTAACTGTGCATTTTATATTATTTTATTGATTTTACTAAGTTACAAGTAATAGAAATATCCACAGCTATGTTTGTATTGTCCAGTTGCAATTCGTTTTTGTTTTTTGGTTATGAAGCAGGTGTGTGTGTGTTTTTAAAAATGAATGCTATTTTGAAATTAACAACACCATGAGTTGCTGGAGGAGCTAATGCTACTACGTAGCCATGAGATATAGTTTTCATAAGCTTTAGCTGTTGTTTTTTTTTTAATGCCTGCTGCTCCTTCAAAACTATTAGAGAGCTCTCAGTAGCCAGAGTACTAGAAAACAAAATGATAATGCATTTCTTCCATATGAAAGATTCACTTCTCTTTGGCAGACTTTCCTTCATGGAGGAAAAGAGACCGTGTGTTCTCTCTCTCTTTTAAATGAACTGAATTCTTTATTCTCCCCTTGCTGGCTGAGTCCAGGTAGTCCCCAGTTGAAGACTGAGTGCCGTTCCCAAGGTCTGTCCCTAAGTCAAACTTGTCTGTAAGCCGGAACAGTATTATTGTATAATACTGTATAAGTAGTATTGCGTATTTAACTCAAATCATTGCGTGCTGTAGTTCTCTGAAGTCTAGAACATCTGGAAAGTTGCAAGTTGAATAAGGACTGCTCTGCTTCTCCTGCTATATGCTAAAGATTTTTTTCCCCCTCTTTTCTTTTCCAGAGATGAACCATGACCATAGTTGACAAGACGTCTGAGTCCTCAAAGCCCTCGGCTTCTGAGAAGCAGCCTTTCAGCTCCGTGGCGCCAGCTTCCGGTGATATGGACTCAGGCTCTGCAGGATGGGGTGCTGTGTCTTCTTCGTTAGAAGTGCCAAAACACAAGATCTCCTTGGGACCAGTGCCAGGAGCTGCAGTTTATTCCAGTGCATCAGGACCAGATAAATGCAAGCCTTCCGCCAAAGAGCTGTGTGAGTTACCAGTGCTGTTTAAAAGCACGGACAAACCCTTTTTAATGATTATCGCTACACTGCAGTTGGGAAGAGCTGTTCTTGGTGATTCTCGGTTATTCTTTCATACAAAAATAAAACAAGGTGCTTATGATAACACTATCCAAGAGTGTTTATGGAGGCAAACAACATTAAGAAAAGTTACAGTACACCTGTTTCTCAAGAGCATTTTTAGCTTTTTATCAACTTACTGTGGCACATGTTCTGCTTTCTATAGTGCCAGGTTGCCAGAAAAATGATAAAAAAGGGAATTAATAAGCTGTAAAAGCAACCCTCCCAACCACCCACAGAGATGTGGGTTCCAGGACAGGCTGCCTTCCAGTCTAAAAAGCAGCCTGGAGGTTTTGGTTGCAATGATTTAATTCCACAGTTTCCATTTTCATCTGCATACATCTTGGGGCTTTGGAATAAGTTGCACCAACATCCATTTGGAAACTGGAGGGTAAATTTGGCCATGAAACCTCTTTGAATTGGAAGTTACTTTTGCGTATAATAGCATGCTCTTGGCTAGCTGTCCATATAAAACAACCCATTAATATACAGCCTGTAACTCCTTGGTAAATGAAGCTTTAAGCGTCTGCTCTGGGGGCTGATTCGTACGCTGTGCATCACCTCAAGCTCTTTTTTATATTGGATGACCTCTTGGTAGCCAAGGAGAAAACGTCCTGTAAGCCAGCGCCATTTCCTGACTCACTGGCAAAGTTCATTGTGCCACTTCCTGAGGGTGATGTGTGCAGGAGGGGGGATGGGGAGGGGGAACATATTCCCATGCTCGTGTGAGTTGCACAGGGAAGCGATGCACTTAAATTACTTGTTTTGCCTGGCTGCATCTCAGGAGGTGAGAGCTCCTCTCACATTCCTCCTACAAAGACCAAACTCCACCACCAGCTCATTCAGATTTATAAGGTAAGCCAAACCCTGCAGATGTCCGTCACTTGCATAACCTTCCTTCTGAAAAAGAATTGTAATTGTCACAGCAGATAGTGTGCAAATGTGTATTTCTCTCTCACACACACACACAATCCCAAAGACGTTTCCCCTGAATGGGAGAGCAGATTTTTATATTTTATCATTGCAAAATGGGCAGCAAGCCAGCACCATCAAGTATTCCTTCCTGTATGTTTGAGAAGAGAAATGCTTTCTTTCTGAAAATGTCCACTTAGTGCAGGCGTGCCTCCTTTAAAATTAAAGAACACATTTCTTTTCCTTCAAATTTCTGTTTCCTTAACCTTCATCTTTATGCTGTCTAACATATTGATAAAAGAAGCCACACCTTTCACTGTAATACCAAAAAAAAAGGTCAGCTAAGTATCTCTCATGAATTGTAAAAGGGGGAAATAGAAAAAAAAGTGACAAATTAGATTCTGCCTCAATAAATTTGCTGGCTTTAAGAGCTGAACATGACACTTTGAATTGTTTTTACTTTAGGGGTTAATCCAGCTATCCTTATGAACCCTTTGTTAATTAATGTCAGTGTTTTTCAGCCCTTCTTTCAACTGGAGCTCCCGAGGCTCCTACTTTATCCAAGAAATGGGAAGAGTTTATTCCTTTGCCTAATTTTTTTTTTATAACCATAATTATTTCCTGATCTCTAATTTCCGACAGCTATTGGTGATGGGATTGCGGCGCCCCAGAAGGTCCTCTTTCCGGCAGAGAAGATCTGCTTAAAATGGCAAAAGATGCATCGAGTTGGAGCTGGTCTCCAAAATCTTGGCAACACTTGTTTTCTGAACTCAGCTCTGCAATGTCTGACGTACACCCCTCCCCTTGCCAATTACATGCTTTCCTATGAACACTCCAAAACCTGTGAGTATGTTTTATAACGTTTTCTCCTATACATTGAAAAAGAAAGTCTCAGCTGAAAAGCATATTCTTCAGAGGGTGGTTCAGTCTGAGTTTGGTTCTGTTTTTTCCCCCAAATATGCAGGAACAGCAAGGCAAATATTTCTATACAGAGGAGCCACTCCAAGCCTATGTTTGGCTAGATATTTTCCCAGATGTTTATGTCACGTATAGAAATTGCCTTGCTTGCTCAATATGTTGAATATTTTATGTACTCTTTATTTATTCAATCAGTGATCATTCATATCGTAATGGTATATGGGAAAGATGTTGGGAGACGGGGAAAAGAGATGCTGCCTAGGGAATAGTCAGATAAGAGGGAGCATAGCCCACAGCTGGATAGTGGACAGGGCAAGAGGCTCAGAAGGGACCCTCCCTAACTTCTCAGGTTGTAAAGGAGGCAGGGGCGGGGGGAGGATTGCACTTTCAGACTTGCAAGATTCTGTTAATGTAGCTTTACAATAAGGCAGAATTAGCTCATCTGGTCATGTTTCCTGTCTGGTCTACCTAGTAAGGCTGACAAATATTTGTTGGCTCTTATATGACCCCAGTCTCCTCTTCCTCCTCCCCCTTAGTTTCTTGTGGGGATTTAGGCTGCCAGAGGTATTGTTCTATTTATCAAGTATGCACATTTTCATAATGGGATATATCTTTTTTTTTTTTCTTCTTTGCATGCAGGTCACGAACAAGGATTTTGCATGATGTGCACCATGCAAGGTCACATCAACCAGGCTTTTTCCAATTCTGGCAATGTCATCAAGCCGATGTCTGTCATAAATGACCTTAGACGTAAGCCTCTATCAGTGCTGGCGTATGTGTATGCAAAGGGTTGTGACATCCAGTTGGCCCCCTTGGCCACTAAGCTGAACCCAGGGGTTGAGTGGTGTGTTTTGACCCCTCTGTCATACTGAGAATTTCTGTTCCTTTGGATTCCCCCCCAAAAAGAGAGCTATATGCTGTCTCTAATAGGTTATTTTGTACCTGGAAGGGGGTTGGTTCAGCTTAATAGGCCTGGTCTGCACTTTGATTTTTATTTTCTTACAAAAGCTTTCATAAAATATGTAATGTGATCTTCTCCTTTGCTTATTAGGAATAGCAAAACATTTCCGTTTTGGTAATCAAGAAGATGCGCATGAGTTCCTAAGGTACACTGTTGACGCTATGCAGAAAGCATGTCTGAATGGTAGCAACAAGTAAGCGGCAATCCATATTTCTTTTCTTGATTATTTTCATTCCTAGATAGATAGGTGGGTTTTTAATTCTTATGTTTGATCTACCTCTGTAACTTATTTTTAGATTGGACAGGCATACCCAGGCGACCACCTTCATTCACCAGATATTTGGAGGATATCTCAGATCTAGAGGTACACCCCTAACTAGCTCCCCTTTTTGAATATTTTTTAAAGTTCATTGAGAATATCGAATATTCTGATTTTTACTTTCATAAATCTCCTTTTTTTTTAATTTCAGTAAAATGTATGAATTGCAAAGGTGTTTCAGATACATTTGATCCATATCTGGATATTACATTGGAAATAAAGGTACGTTTTCATTTCTCTTTGTGGTGCTTTGTTTCATGTTTTGCAAATTCTTAATTACACTTAGTGCAATACATCCCTGTGAATGACTATTTTTTTCACAGTAGCTAGCAAGAACAAACGTAGACATTTTCCCCATGCTTGTAAGCACCAGTGATATGCTGTTGGACCAGATCAATACAGCCATCTGATCTAACCCCTGACATCTTAGGGCAGTGTTTCTCAACCTTGGCAACTTTAAGCTATATGGACTTCAATTCCCAGAATTCTGGGAATTGAAGTCCATATAGCTTAGAGTTGCCAAGGTTGAGAAACAC